TTGTAGATTGTGTGTATATATGTATGTATATATGTGTATGTATGTGTAAGCACACGTACATAGGAGCAACACTAAACGGACTCAGTAGATTATACATATATGTATACATTTAGGTGTCTGTTTAACAATAATAATTATAGAAGACAAGGCCATGAGTTTGAGAAGGAGTAGGAGGGCATGGGAGGAGTTGAAGGGGGAGAGAAAGTGGTAGGAATGATGTAACTATAGCATTCATGTATTAAATTCTAAAAAACATAAAAAACTTAAATTAAAAAAAAAAACCACCCAGATTCCAATCTCTTTGCTATTTGGCAGTTCTCTGAAACCCAGATGTCTCAGATTTAAAATGAGGATACTACACTTACCTCATAAGAGTACAAGGAAAGTATAATTACAGCAAATGTTAACATAAAGACAAACAGAAATAAGAGTAAACATTGCCTGTAGTACATAGCTTGTATCAATCTTCCAAGTGTTTCAGCATTATGAAGTCAATGTTCTCCAAATTGGACCCTGCATCAGACTAAGCCCTCTCCCTACCATTTCTTATTCAGTGGGTTTATGGTGAAAATTTTTAACCCTTTCCAAAAAAAGCGCTAGTGGGGTGCTGATGCTGCTAGCCAGGGACCATGCTTTGAGAACCAACATCCACTGACTCTTCACATGTCCCACATTCAATGCCACCACTGCCATGGGCTCACATGAGCAAGGCTTCAGTGGCCCAGAAACCTCCACCTCCTTGTAATCATGAACCAGCTCTGGCTCTTACAATCTTTCCACCTCCTCTTCTGAAATGGTCTCTGAGTTGTAGGTGGGTGATGTTCCATATAGGAGTCCCATCCTACACTCTACAGTCTCTTATTCTCCAAAACTTGGCCAGATGTAGCCTTCTGTGTGCATTGCACTCTGATACACAAGGGAGTCTCACTGGTGAGAGTTGAGGGGTGCATTAGCCTTCTCTTTACCCCTTATTCCGCTATATTCCATGGGCCTTAGTTGTAGAGATTCAACTGCAGATGTGTCACCTAGTGCTGGGCATCTCCCAGAAATATGCTCTCTGTGCCTGACAAGATGTGCAACTCTGCAGTAGCCTCCATCTGATGCAAAAATAAGTTTCTTTGATAAGTGCTGTATGGCATGCTTGCCACTCTAAGGAAGGTCTCTTCTTTTTATAAAGAATCTTATTGTGTGTGTGAATATGGGTACATGCATGCTATGATATATATGTGGAGGTCAGAGAACAACATTTGGGAGTTGATTCTCTCCTTCCACCATGGGTTCCAGAGATTGAACTCAGATCATCAAGCTTAGATGGCAAATATTTTTACCCACTGAGCCACCAGCTTGAGTTTTCACTTTTTTATTCACCGTATATTATCCTGTTAATGTCATTATCAAAAAAAAATATATCAAAGAAAGAAAAAGGCACAATTTGGGGGAATGATTTCAGCAACAGATTGAAAATGCAGCTCAGAATGGCAATTCCTATCCTGTTACCTGCAGGTTTATCACTTTCTTAACAGAATTTAAAAATTTAATCCGTTGTTATTTTATGTGAATGAGTGTTTTGCCTGCATGTATGTAAGTGTACTCAGACAAATAATGTCCACGGAGGCCAGAAGACAGTGTCAGATCCCCTGGAACTAGAGTTATGGACTGTTGTTAGCCAACGTGTAGATCCTAGCAACTGAACCTGGTTCTCTGGAAGAAGAGTAAGTGCTCTTAACCGCTGAGCCATATCTCCAGTCCCCAGGCTTCTCCCTGTTTGAAGTCACCTACATTTTAGTACGGTTGAGTTTATTGACATTTGCCTTAGGTCTTCAGCGTCTTTAGAGTTCTCCAAAAGACCTGTATGATGCATAAAAGTTAAGAGCTTACAGGAAAAAAAAAGAGAGAGAGAGATCTATTTTATCCTGTTGGAAAGTAACCAAATTTCAGTCACTTCAATATTTTATTATTAAAAACATAAAATTCATAAATGCCATGAAACCACTGAAATGTTAATAGTATTAACCGTGTAAACACACAAAAGTTGATGGTACAGTGCCAAGAACAATAATTTGAAGATGGTGTATCTAGTTCACTTCCTCACTTCAATTCCCTCTTTAATCCAAGCACATCTTGCTTCCTTTCCTCCTGTCAGTATCCAGGCCCCCATCATCCTCCACCCTAGGGAATAGGCACCTGTTTCTCTACCCTCAGTTCAGGTCAGTTTGCCACTGGCTCTGCTTCCATGCATGTCCACTTCTGCCTCACTGACTGGTCACCAGTTCCTCATGCTTGAGGTATTCAGGTGGATTTGAGGTATTTAAGTCACTTTTCCAGGGTTGATCTCCACACGGAAATCTTTGTAACAATATATTCAATTATCTACTTAACCATTTTTCTTGACTCTCTTAAGGTGTGGGCACCTCAGACTAATTCTGTCCAAATATTATATCGTCTTTCTTGTTCCACTCCCATGTAGACACTCAAGAATAATTGAATAAATAAATGTTAAGCGGAGGAAAATTATGCTAAAAGAGAACATACACACATATATAATATATATATGGAGATAATACATATACAACTGAGCAATTATGCTTAACAAGATGCTATGCATCACCATTAAGCTGGTAGGAAAAACACCAAAGAAACGCTGTGAATGAAATTAAAATAGTTTTTCTTAAAATTTCTTTTTTTCCTCCAAATTCAGAATTAAGAATATCAGAATTAGAGGCTATGGAATGTAGCTCAGTGGTCAAATTGTTTCGTGGCATGCATGAAACACCGGGACTGATTCCCCAGTACCAAAACATAAACAAACAAAAACAACAAACTTTGGTGTGTGAACAAAGACCATACTTACAAGCTGCACAACTTTGATTTCCTTGTGTGCCAAAGCGAGTTAAAAATACATATACTGAACTGGGTGTGGTGGCGCACGCCTTTAATCCCAGCACTCAGGAGGCAGAGGTAGGTGGATCTCTGTGCGTTCAAGTTCCAGATGGAGCTACAGGGAGACCATCTCAAAAAGATAAAAAAAAAAAAAATTGTATTGAAGCCAGGTGTGGTGGCACATGCCTTTAATCCCAGCACTTGAGAGGCAGAGGCAGGTGGATCTCTGTGAGTTTGAGCCCAGCCTGGTCTATATAGTGAGTTCCAGGCCAGCTGGAGCTACAGGGAAAAAATGTCTCAAAACAAACAAACAAACAACAAAAATAGTACACTTAGATTTCTCACCACATCAAAGAAGCTTTTTGCAACAGATGGAGACTGTTACAGACATCCACAACTGGTCAAAATGCAGAGAATAAGTGATCATGGGGTACCCAGGCCCACGTTATAGATCTACAATGCAACCCCTAGGGCTAAGTCTCAGGGAACACCTTGGAAGAGGGGGTGGAATAATTGTAAGAGCCTGAGGACCAGGATACCTACTGCTAGATAGTGTCTTCTAGATAGGACAGGGAAGCTACACCCATGAAATCTCAAATATGGTTGCTCAGAAAAGACCTGCATAATGACAACACCAGGTAACATGCCAGTGAATGGGGAAAATTCACAGGGTCCCACTCCTAGATGAAGAGCTACAGGGAATAATCAATGGACGCAGAAGAGGAAGAATCAGTTTTCTCCAGGGAGGAGCTCCCTGATAGGTTATCCAAGATCAGCCCTAAATACATGTATACACTAGCAACACTAAATGGACTCAGGTGCTATATATACATATGTATGTGTGTATGTACATATATATGTAACAATAATAATTAAAGAGGTCACAAATTTGAGGGGGCATGGGAGGAGTTGGAGGGGGAGAGGTAGAAAAATTATGTCAATACGGAACTCATGTATGAAATTCTCCCCCCAATTTTTAAGTTAAAAAACAAAAAACAAAAACAAAAACAAAAAACAGGGGTTGGAGATATGGCTCAGTGGTTAAGAACGCTGGCTGTTCTTGCAGAAGACCAAGGTTCCAATCCCAACACCCACATGGCACCTAACAACTCTCCATAACTCCAGTTCCAGGGATCCGACAGCCTCTTCTGTCCTCAGCTGGCATTGCATGACACAGGTACACTTACCTACACGCAGGCAATATACTCATACATATAAAATAAAACCAGCCTGGTCTCCATAGTGAATCCAGGACAGCTGGAGCTACAGGGAGACCCTGTCTCAAAAAGACTCCCCCCCCCCAAAAAAAAGACCCCAAAGAAAAGTAGC